ATAATGATACTTGAATATGCACCGGTGTCCACCATTATACGATGAACGGGAATCCCGCAAACTGGGGCGGTTATGATTAATGCATCTGAATGAGGATGATCAAACAAGCTCGCATCTTCTAATGTGAAAGTGATCGGGCAAGTGCGCGAGTTAATTGTTTCCCGAAGATCGGTATTCATTATTTGTTTCCCCGAGTTGTATGCCCTTCTGGCGTATGCTTTGGCCTGCCGACGTGAGGACGTTGACTCTTCTCGGTTAGTGTTAATTCGGGGAACAGAGCCTAACCGAATTGGGATTTGAGGAGTACGGTTAGAGTTGGGACTCTCGAAGTCCCTGTTTCTTTTTCCAAGTCGGTCGTCAACCGACCTGGATCCTTCTACCCCGAACATGAATATCTCCTTTTCTCCTTGTTGTAGACGAATTCTTTTGGAATTCATTGCGTCTTCGTCTTCTTCATCTCGGTCAGGAACATGAGTTATTTGCCTCCTTTCTTTACCTTCATGTTTGGTAAATTTTCTCATTTGTGGATTTCCAATCAACTTCCTGAGAGCCGACAATAGACTTAGACATTCATCGGTATTGTGACCTGGAGATCGATGGTAATCGCAATACCGTGACTTGTCCAATTGACTTTCAGGAGTCTTGACTAGTCGAGCTTCAGGAATGATTCCTTTTCCTTTGATCTCTTGATACACCGTCGCGGCACCGACCGAGTAGATGGATCGATAACCTGCGGTTAGATCTTCCTTGTATTGTCTCCTGGCAGCTTTTATGTCGGTATCGTTCTGTTCTCCTTTGTACGGTTCTTTGAAAGGTAAATTCTTAGACGAGTTGCCGAGGTGCTTCTTTTTCTTGTTTTCAAAAGTCGACTTCTGTTCTTTTGATGGGGAGAAATCGAAGTTCGGAACCGACATGGACTCCTCGGCAATAACATGTTGTTGAGCGCGAACAAGGAATTCTTGAAAGGTGTTGGGTTTGTTCTGACATAGCGCCCAGCGAAACATGGATCTTGGCTTTAATCCAGAGATTGCCGAGACAAGGAGTGTATCTGGATGACAAGGTTCCATGTTTTGCACACGTTCATTAAAACGTTCAATATAATCCTTTAAACTTTCATCCTCCTTTTGGACTATGTCTGTGATTGATTCCTTAGGTATCAAGCTAATTTGAGCCCCGATGAAATGGGACCTGAAAGCTGATCTGAGTTGACCCCAACATCTGATCGATTCAGTCGGTAGTGAATAGTACCACTTCTGAGCTTTAGGACCTAAGGTTAAGGAAAACATACGACATCGTAAAGCATCGTCAGCACCATGCAAGTCCATCCATGACGTATAATGTCCGAGATGGGCATCAGGATCAGCGTTTCCGTCGTAGAGGCCAATTTGGGGGACTTTGACTTTTCCCGGTAACGGACCTCTGGTCAACTCGGTTACTAGGGGAGAACCGACTTCCATATAGACATGGCCCGATTCTGGCACGTGAGGATCCTGATAAGGCCTGATTTGAGTGGTTTGTCGGGCTTCCAACTCTGCCACCTTTCTTCTTAACGTCTCGACCTCGGAAGCATTACGTCGAGCGCAACGATTACGCTCAATCTGCGTTCTCAGGTCAACCGGATTCTCGTTTTGTCGAAATAAAGAACGTGCCGCGTGGGGAATTCTGGGCACATGCTGAGGACAACTTTCAGCATGCCGAGGGTTACTTTCAGCAACCATTTCTGGTTGATTCATTTCCGGTTGGTTCATTTCCGCCGGCAGTACGTTGTTCACCGGCGGAGGGGGTGGATTGCGTGGTTGTGAAGTGGCATGGGACGCCGCTTGATTATTGTTATCCCTTGGTAAGGGAGGACCTTGTTGTCTCACCGGAGTTATAGGAGCAAAAGGTTGTCCTGGTACTCTGTGTGATGGCCCCGGCATGGTTTGGGCCACCAAAGCAGTGAGTCCACGAGCGAATTCAGGGTTCTGCATGAGCAGGGTAATGTCCGGCATCACAGGTACTGGATTATGTTGACCGGTTGGCAGTTCAACAACACGAACGGCGCTTCCCATGGTTGTTGGATTATCTTGTCCGGACTGTGACATTCTCGATTTTATGAGATGTGGTGTGTATATTTCGAAAATTAACTCCAAATATCTTATGGAGCCCTTCTTCTAGCGCCAAAATGTTGATAAACGGATTTAATCAACGTTAACAATGTAAAATTAACACAAAAGATTGCAGAAAATGGGATTTTTATCGAATATTCTGAAGTCGGTTTCAATACAGGGAAGTCGGGTTTTTAATGTATTTCAAGTCGGTTTACAGTGAGATAGCCGAGTTGAATATATGAGTGTGTATGATCTTTTTCGAACCCCTCTCTCGTCTTTGGAGCTGCTATTTATAGTTATGTCTGGCACACATCCCTAGACAAATCATTCCCGTTTTAATAAAGATTTGACGTCTTAGGGGCGGCGATGACGTAGAAGAACTTTTTAGGCAATGATTAGCATGGGCGCGCCTCTATCTGTGTGACGAGTGTCACATCTGTCGGAACGAAGTCGGTTCGTCTTGCGATGTCGGTATTTTGATAGATCTTCAATATTCTACGACTTATTAATAAATAATTCTTGGACCGAGTTGGCCTTTTTCAAGGTTCTGACGACTTGTGTTGATGACTCCCGAAGGTTCTGCGGTATCATTTACGAATTCCGAGATGAGATTACCGAGGTACAATATGTCCTATTTGGCGTCGTCTAGAATCCAATTTATGGATCAAACTTCACGATTTCTCTAATTTAATCTTAATATCAAGATATTCTATCTTGATATCAACAAAAGTAAAGAGGAAGATAAACAATACTTAATAATTATAAATTAAAGATTCGGGATCAAACAATGTAAAACTATTTTGTATAAGAAAAATAAAATTTACATTATTTTGTATAAGAGAATATAAAATTTGCATGTTTATTATTAAAAATACCTAAAATATTATATTAGTATATATGTAAAAGTATTCAAAATTTTCTATGTTATTTTTGAAAGATGTGAAGTCATCTACAACTTTTCTAAACAATTTTAGAAGGAAAACATATCTAAGAACATTTGAATTTAACATTGTGTAAAAAAGATTTTTCTAGACTATTTTGTAAAGAAAATATGTCTATATTTAAATTTAATATGTGTATATGTACATATATATATATATATGTGTATGTTTTGTATAGCTTTTTAGAGATAATAATTCAACACGTGTATTTGTTTTAGGAAATGAATAACAAACTTAATATGAGTTTTGAATAATGATAAGGTGTATGAAATATCTTCTCCTTTATAAGATTTTGTTTTTAATCTTAAAATTATCCCAGATATCTTCCCTTTATAATACGATTTTTTTTCTTCAATTTATTGTTAAAAAAATATATTTAGAAGGGTTACCATAAAAAAATATGTGATAAGGATGCTCGTGTGAAATAGGATTATTTCGTTACCATAAAAAAATATGCGGACGGCGCGTGTGAATTGGGGTTATTTGATGAGAATTAAATCGATATAATTATGAGTTTAAAAGGCATGTGAAAAGGACATAAATGCTGAGCGTGTGAAATGGACATAAGAGTTACCGATTTTGGAAAGTAATAAATGCAAAACTGACTTTGACCATTAATTAAATTACTAATGTTGATAAATGTTAATTCTTATTATATAAGTATAGATTTTAAAAGAAAATTATATGAATCGCCTCAAATGCCTCTTTAGTGATTATGGCTGGAATCCAGAATCAACTCGAGATTTTGCAATCACTAAATTGGAAAAAATAATTAAAATCTGTTTATCCCTTTTTAGCACTATCCTTATGGATTGCAAAGATAGCGGGTAATTGCCTAATGGGATAGCAAAATAATTTTTATTTCATTGATAAAAAGATTATTCTAATTATATATTTTTAATTTTTTTGTTGTCATTATTCACCCGGAAAGAATGGCATTTTCCTCCATAAATTCAAATATAAAAGCTCGTGTGTTGATTTGGTATTTTGACTTAACAACAAGCGGTTATATTATTCTACTATTTTATTTCTATGGATGAAGTATGTACACTGTAAATTATTATTTTTTACTAGAGAAAAATAAAAAAAACACAAGTGGACAAAAAGCAAAGGAAAAAAAAAGTTGTGGACAAAAATCAAAAAGACGTATTTTTAAAATACGTTTTTTATGTATTTTATATTAAAAAATATATTTTAAAAATACGTTTTTGAATAAAATACGTTTTTTAATATAAAATACATAAAAAACGTATTTCAAAAATACGTCTTTTTGATTTTTGTCCACAACTTTTTTTTTTTTTTGTTTTTTGTCCACTTGTGTTTTTTTTGTTTTTTTCATATAAATTTCCCAAAAAATGCATTTGATTTAGGTCTAAACCTGTCATCTCATGATAGTATGATACATCCAAAATTATTCATAACTTTGAATAAAAAAAAAACAATTACTGAATCACACATTCAAACTTGTCCCACATTGAAAGTGTATTTATTGCAGGACACGTAGCACTGTCAAAACGGGCCATAGCCCGCGGGCTGGCCAGTCCGTCCGCCTAAATGGACGGGCTTGGGCCTTTGCTTGGCCAGCCCGTTCAATCGCGGGCCTATTTGGCCCGCCCCGTTCGGCCCGCGATCTAAAGCGGGCTGGGGCGTACTGGCCCGCGGTCCAGCCCGTTTTTTCATTATTTATTTATTTGTTAATTTTATATTATTTAAATTTAATATTTCTTATTTTACTTCTATAATTATTCATAAAAAAATAAAAATAAAAACTGGATGACAAATATTTAACATCATTACACATGAAGCCTTACTAGTTTATTAATATACTAGTAAATATAAGGATAAACAAACCAAAAAGTATATAAGAGTACATAATACCAAAACACCCGTGGGCGGGCCAATTTGGCCCGCGGGCTAATGAGGGCGGGCCAGGGGCCATGGATTTCCCAGCCCGTAGAAATGCGGGCCAGTGCGGGCCGGATCGGACCGACCCATTTGACACTGCTAAGGACACGTGTCAATATACTATCGGTGAATAAATGTGGATGGCTCCATAAACCGAGCCTTCCGATGATTGCATAGCAAAACTGTAATTATTAAAAGATCGTCACATTGTATATTTCTTTAAGCAAAATACATGCTATAAAAAAAAAAGTAAAAAGTCCAAAACGTCCTTAAAATAACAATTTAAAAATGGTGTAAGCAAACTACCATGCACCAACCAAAATTGTCCTTTTCAACCACTACTGTAGAATCAAAGCCCAATGCTAATTGCTAAAGCTAACGACCCGACTATCCACCACGAACCGACCCGGAAGCGCCCAAACCCGAATTCAAGCGCCTTCACAGCCCTCCTTCTTGCGCCGCATTTCCAGCACCTTGCGATGGCTGTTCGAGTGCATCTCCTTGGAAAAACTCGGGCTGCAGGCCGGCCTGTACTCCGGGAAAAGCCGGCCCGATTTGAACCGCACACCGCAGGCGTTGCACAGTGTTTTCGGGCCGAGCGGCCCGGTCCTCCACTGCGGCGTCTTGCTGACCTGGCAATGGGTGCACCTCCGGCCGGCGTCCTCCTCCGGCGCCTTCCTCCGCCGCTTGACCGGCGGTTTTCTGACCCCAATGAACTGGTCTGCCTTGGAAACCGCCGGTTTATCGACCCCACACAACCAGTACGGCCGCCGCGCGCTTGGCCTCGTCGGGAGCTTTGTCCTCGGTTTTCTCGGGACCGGCGAGGGCAAAAACGGGACGATAATCTTATGAGCCGTACGGTTCACGTGTTCGGCTCTTTTGCCCTGGATTACCCCGCCGTTTGCCGGAAAAATTCCGACCGGGCATAACAGGGAGAGCCCCGCCGTGGAGTCGTCGTCGACGAATTGTGATAGCCACTCCAAATTCTCCAAATCGGCCTGTGACAAATTTTGTCAATTAAATGAAAAAAATTAATCAAAATAAATCATAAAATTTGAGAAATTAAGCCATAAAATACCTAAGCAGAGTATGACAAATTGAAATTAGGGAAAAACAAATTGGGCGAAATTAGGGGAACTTTACCGGGACGACGAGTTCACCGGCGGCGGAGAGGCTGTCGGATTCGTCGGCGCCGGCGGCGGAGAAAGTTGTTGTGGAGTGATTAGAATTGGTTTCGAGGAAAACGCTTTCCTCATCCTTCGATTTCGAAAAGCATGTTTCGAGGTGGTCCTTATCGTGGAAATCGAGGTTGAGGAGGTCGTCGACGGGGAAATTGTCGTCGGAGGAGGGGAGGACGGCGGCGTTGATTCCGGCGAGGCACCAAACGTCGTCGTTGTGATTGACGTTCATTTGGGACAGAGCACTGGACTTCAAAGCTCTCGTCTCTATGCACTCCATTAATAATTGCCTTTTGTTTTCTTTTTGTTCCTTCCTCAAAATCACAACTGGAGAAAAATAATTACAACAAATGAAAAATCAAAGATTATACCATTAATCCAGTTATCAATGATAATTTTATTTATTTATTTAGGGGTAAAACAAAATCATATATATTTTTTTTAAGTACCTGGAGATGAAAGAAAGTGGTGAAGAAAAAAAGGAAAACAAAAAAAAGATGTGGGCAAAGAGCACTGAAATGTGGGCTGGTTCGTGGGCGAAACTGATGGTGGGTTAATGGCGCTTCTTTTTCTATTTTTTCTAAAACTTTTGACTCTTGCTTTATATTTTAATATTATTTTATTTTGTGTATTTTTGTTGGTATTGTTGGAAAGCAGAATATTGCGGCAAGACTGGTGTAGTTTTTACAATTTTTACTTTGAGCGAGATTTACAATGGCTGTTTGAATATTCGAAACTAAATTTTTTTTTTTTTTTAAATAAAAACAGTGTAAATTAAAAAGTCTTGCATGTAAATGGACGGCTGAAATAAAAGGATTGGAATCAAATAATAATGCATGGACTTCCGACAGTGTATTCATATCAGTGTCAGAGTCAGAGTCCACGAGAGGATTAATGGATTATGATTTTTGCATTGACCTTTTTGGTTTATTTCCCAATTCTAACCAAAGTTGTACTTGTATAATAATAATTATTATTATTATCATCATTATTATTAATATTGTCTAAATAAAATCATTAAGAAGAAGAATAGTAATATATATACTTTTAAAATAATTTATGGTGAATGATAGGTCATAACATGTTGGTATTGGTGGCCCAAATGAGATGAATTTTAGATGGCCCAATTCTTTGGTTCAATTTCTTTAGCCTGAGCCTAGTTTGGCAGTCTATTTTGATTTATATGATCTTGGTCGTTCATATTTAAGTGGCTTGATCTCGGTCGTTCTTCGTTGTCATCTTTAAATACATTTATGTAGGGCAGTCTAAGGTTTAGAACAAGTGTTAGTGTTATATACTGAAAGCTTGGTTTTGCATGTTATTACACATTTACCCTTTATGAATGAGAATCATGTTAGATTAAACAAGTTCTACGTTCTGTTGTTCTGCACTTAGATAGGGTGGGTCGTCATCGGGCGAACCGAAGATCACTCTATCAGTCACTTGCGAACAAGAATAGTTGTTCACAACCTAGATGGACATGAACACCCCATCCGAACGGTTGTAGTGTCAACTGTACAGTTTGTCTTGACTGATTAGTTGCACTAGTACATTTATATATTGAACATGATCCCAGAGAGAAGAAGTTCATTTTATACTGATCGTCGTAAATGAACTAGGCCTCGGTTAATTACTGCGTTCTCTTAACCTGTAAGATATTAAACAGGCAGATATATATAATATATATTACTTTGATTCACATGGGTGAGGTTCAGTTCGCTGGATTAATATTCCTACTGTTTTGGATAATATTATTATATATAGGATGTGCTGTTAGGATATTTACGGTCACCATGTGCGTTAGTTTGATGATGTCCTCGGAGTGAGTTCATGAAGGATTGTTATGCTAAACCCTGCAGGTGGATTAAGTTCCGGCATAATAAGAATGTGATGGACGAGCGCTAGCTTCGATGAAATAATAATAAATTAATTAATTCTTGATTGTCAGTAATCGAATTAATTAATGGACATTATATCTTAAACGTGGGGAGATAAATCGAGTAATTATTATTGGAGTCTCAAATGTAATTTGGGTTAGGAAAAGGGAGTGCAATAATATAATGTTGGTGGTCTATTAATATTATTTAATTAATTAGAGGAGTGGGCTCGGCCCACAGTTAGTCTAATTAATTAAGGAGCCCTTTTCCTAATCTCCTAAGGGTACCAACTGTAGCTCTATATATACATCATTAAACTCATGAAAAGGAAAGGGAATTCCTAATCACACGTGAATAACGCCCCACGCCTCTCTCTCTCTCTTTAGATCTCATTCGAGCTTTATCTTCTTCTTGTTGCTCCACTGGTACAAGTTGAAGAAGGGTGTATTGAGTAATACACTAGAAGATCTGTAGGTAAACCGAGACGAAATATGTTTTGACCTACAGAACTAACCGGAAGTCCGATTCAGACGTACAGCATACCCAGACGACCGGCTCGACGAGAGCTTTCCATCGCCGCCGAGATCGCAGCCGTCCGACGCCTCACGCGCCCTCACGCGCCGCCGGAAGCTCCCAGGCTACAAAGTTTCGTTTTGATCTGTTTGCATCCGTTTGATCCGATTTTGATCTGATCTTGTTTGTGCAACCCAAGACGTGATTTGCGGCCAATCAATTGCGGTCAACCGTTCGTGATCAACCAGATCTACATAAATTTTAAGCCGTAAGTTCTCTACGTCAAACCTTTAGATCCGCTACGCATAGGTTTACGTTTGCTATTGAATTCATGATTTGTACATAACGAGATCCTCACAGATTCCAACAACAAGTCTACGCAACCATCCCAATAATTTCAGTCTACTATCTGTTGCTCTCTTATAGTCTCGCTCTCGCTCTCTCGTCGACTTTTTTGCTTACTGATCCTATCTATTATCTTATGAAATCTTTGTGATAATGAATTGTGAGTGAGTTGGGGATCTTCAGTGTGTCGGTCGAATCTTTGTGAGAGGAGTTTTTAGGGGTTTCGTGTATGGGCGATTTTCGGGCCAAGCTTTGTGCGGCCGTATGATGTTACCGCTGGGCTTCCAATGCCGAAGTTATTGAGGCCACGAATCCATCGATCGGTTCTTTGGTGACTGACTTTTAAGGAATTGACGAATGGGGATTGAGCTTGGTCATATTCAATCCATCCTCGTGGCATTCGTTGCATTCGGGCCCTTGTAGGAGAACTCAGTGAAGGGTGTATTCGTTCTTATTTATTTTCAGCATTTCGAATTATTTATGTTGTTTGATTGCTGCTTTTTGATTAGTTTTGGGTAATTTTCGTTTTCAACTTAAAGCGGAGATACCGGGACGTGTTCGAAACAAAACGGATGTGGTTCGTGATCAACCGAGGGTTGTCCGAGACTAAACAGGGGTTATTTGAGACCTGTTAGGATCAACCAGGCTCAGCGGGATGACACCCAACACATATGCGTCTATATTTATAAAATAGTATATATAGGTCATTGTATCTACTTTGAAACCTAAAACAGTATCTTGAGGACAGGGGACACTCTCTTCCCCAAAAAACCATTTTCCTCAAATTCGCTCGTGCAGGTCTTTGCCTTCCATCGCTGCCGTTTCCTTTTCGCAGAGCTTGCTACGCTGCCCATTGTCGTCCGCCGATGTCTGCGTCATTGTTCCGCTTGGATCCACGGATCTCCACCGGATTCAGGTCTCGACGATTGTTCAAGGCGCCTCTGTTGCGGTATAGGTAGGTGACCGCGCGTCGCAATGTGGCAAAATTATAATTTATGTTTTCCTTAACCGACTTCTACCAACTAGTAGTAGTAGTGAGCAAGGGTCGAACCCACAGGGAGTGTGAATCAAATTGTGAATTTTTTTGTAATAATTGAAATTATAAAAAGCAATAAAAGATGGGGGGATTTTAAGATTTAATAACTAAACTAAATAAAATCCTAAGAATATAAAGTAAATGAAATAAAAAAATAAATAAAATAAATGAAGAGAACTTTCTAATTCACGGTTCCGTCTACACCTTCGATTGACTCGTCTAATCAACTTTGGAATCAAATCTCGTTATCTTATGAAATTACTAGCCCTAGGCAACGACACGGCCTGTTACCCAATTTTTTTCTTATTTTTGATTTAACCGCGAGACGCTCTACAATTAAACCAGACTTCTTGTACAGTCCAGAAAAACTTTTTCAAGATTTAATATAATTAACCGCTTTACGAATTAGAAAAATAGACTAGACTAAGTAGTGAACTCAACCGCATTCGTTCACTTAAATAGACCGTGTTATCCCCGGTAGTTACCGTCTGTTCGTTCCACTTTTGTCATGTTTTCTTTGTTTATTTCATGCTTGTTTTTCCCCTACTTAGGTATTTTTCTTTGGTTTTTGGTCCGTTTCGAGTCGTCTCGTACTTATCCTTTGTTTTAGTCGTTTTTGGTCTTTTTGTTCGTTTTCCCCGGTTTTCCGTACTTCTTGTCGGTGGTGATGTGCAGGTTTGGTGGATCGGTGTATGACTACGCGAGGTCTACTGTCTAGTTGGATGAGTTGGGGTCGTGTTGGAGAAGACGGGATCAAATTCCGAGTCCGGACGAGAGAAGATGAACCCGAAAACCAAAGTTCAGAAATTCTTCGCCGCGGCCGCGGAGAAGAGGAGGTCGCGGCCGCGAGGTGCACGTAAATTCCAATTTCTGGCTCGGGGAGGTCGCGGCCGCGGAGGAAGTCCCGGCCGCGAGATGTTGTTCGCCGCGGCCGCGGAGGTCGCGACAGCAGATTTTTAAGTTTCGTTTTTT